GTAATATGGCATACACAATGCGCTAACATACATCCTAGCATACACAATGCTATGGAATGAGATGGCATACACAATGCAATATGGGCTTACACCAACATGAGAGAGTCTCAGCCACACTCACATAGGAGGCCATCAGATGAAAACAAGATAACTCGAAATGCGTGCACGCGTGCACGTAAACCGAGGACCGACCCTCAAGCACCGAAATGCCATTCTAATGAGACATGGGAAAGACATGGAATATGGCACACTATAATGCAAAAATCAGAGGTAAAATGAGATGCAAAACAGCCCCGAAACCCGGTAAAATGAAACCCGATGCATGGAACGAGCCCCGAAACATGGATTTTGGCGCATGAAATGGCCTATAGCTATGCAATGCATGCATAATTTGAATATGAAATGAAAATACAGAAGCAAGGAAGCCCCTAGATAAGCATTTTTACAGTTCAAAGCATGGCCAACCAGCAAACAAAAATAGGGCAAAAATAGCATGCAAAAATGGCCCTAAATGTGAGATAATGAAACAACTCGCAGCTGCTGACCCCAAATAGATTAGGGCCCTTAAACAAAGTTGAAGAGGGGCCCAAAATATGATCTTTTACAGTTTATGGAAAACCACAAAAACCAGCACAGGTATGGCTAAACTCTCATGCAAGAAATGGGCCAAAAGATGGCTAAAGAAGCAAGTGGTGGTTTCTGGCCTTAAACACAAAGGGGCCCTTAAACAATGTTGAAGAGGGGCAAAAAATAAATCATTTTACAGTTGATGGCCGGACCCAAAACAGTATGCAAATATGTCCAAAATGCTATGCAAAAATGGGGCCCAAAAGAGAGATATAACACAAAGTATATAAAATATGCCTCAAATCATGAAATAGCCTTAATGAAATATGAATAATTGGCCAAAATAAGACTATTTTTAGTTCTGAAATGAACCCAAAAACAGAAGTACAATGGGCTGCCAAATCATGCAAAAATGGGGACCAAAGAGGGGTATAATGACAAGTGTCACATGGAGGTCCCAAACAGTGATGAGCCCTTCTTCAATGTTGAATAAGGGCTCAAAATAAGCTCACTTATAGTTTACATCATGCTCCAAAACAGATCACACATAGGCTAAAAATACTACGCAAGATAACGGTATATAAGAAGGATAATGAAACAAGTGCATCAAGGGGGCCTCAAACAGTGAGAGGACCTTAAGAAAAAGTGAAAAGGAGCTCAAAAAAATGCCACTTTCAGTTAGGGCCGGATCTTAAAACAGCAAGCATGTATGGCTAAGAAATGATACAAAAATAAGCTCAAAAGAGAGGAAATAGAACTTACCCTTGAAGACAAGTCTTTAGCAAGTCTTGGCTTGAGTTTGCAGCACCCCTAAGCTCTGGAGAACACCCTCAAACTACTGGAGTGGAGGATGGAAGGGTAGGGCTTGGTGGTGTAGTGTAAAATGGTGTAGGGTTTGAAGAATGGAAGCTTGGAGATAGAGAGGGAGAGAGATATAATGCAAATGGCTTGAAGGGAAATTTTCTAACCCTTTTGACAGAGCTGGCCAGCCAAGTATATGGACCAAAGAGGGGGAGAAATGGAGGGAAAAAGTGGGGGGAAAACAAGCCTAGTTTCCCCCCAAAAGTTGTCCCCCCGGATACAGGTTTTTGGGGGGAAAAAAGTGTATAGTTGTAATGTACACATTGCAAGGATCATGGCCGGCTAGTTTTTGGAGCTTCAGGTGGCCGGCCGGCCACCCCCTATGGCCGGCCAGCCAAGGGTCAAAAAGGTCAAAAGATTTTCTTGCCCGCCACCACAAGATGGTGTCCTCCCAAGTGTCCTCAACACAACCCTGTGGTTCAAAATTGTCAACTGTAAAATAGGAGAAAGAATAGGCCATTTTTAGGAAGGGTTCAAAAGGGTCAGGTGGAATTACTGGCCGGCCATCAACTTTTGGTGTCCTCCCATGTGTCTACAACACAAATATGTGGTTAAAAGTTCAAGAAAATGGCCCAAGGGTGAAAGGATTACTGGCCGGCCACCAAATATTGGTGGCCTCCCAGATGTGTACATCACAAATATGGGGTTTAGGGTGCAAGAAAATGGCCCAAGGGTGGTCAACATTGGCTTTGAAGTGAACAAAATCGGGCGACGGAGGGCGATGAAGGGATAAAGTTGGCTGACAGAACAATTACTGGCCTCCCATCCTTCTATGACCTTCCTCGCAATGAAACAGAGGTCCCTGCCAAAAATGAACCAAAACCGATGCAAAATGAATGTTCGGGGGCCAGAACACGCAGTTCGGGGCCCCGAAAACTGCCTATTAAGCACCGAAAGTGGCATTCGACCACGAAGTGGGTCTCTCAGACCTCAGTGTCCCTCAAAAGGGAGTAAATAAGATGCATGCCAAAAATCGGAGCAAAAGGAGATGGTTAAGTGGTCCCGAACCGAGGCACACGGCCTACGGTTCTGAAAAATCGGGAACCGGGTTCCGAAATGGGCAAAATGGCCTATAGCCACAAAATGTAGCCCACGGCCACTGAGAGATGGTCTACGGGACCTCTCCCTCCCCTTAGGAAAAGTAACAGAGAAAACCGAGCCTGGTTCGCAAACCGAGGCAAAGCACAAAAGAGTCCGGAAGTCTGGAGGCAAGGCTCGCAGCTGAGACTCTGAAACTTCTGGACGAGCACAATATGCAGTATCACCAAGCACTCAACTGGTGACGTCTGAGTCTCAAGGTCGGTCAAAAATGGGGTGTCTACAAATACCGTGGCACAGGCCCTCGCTCGGGGGGGAAACAATACCGTAGCACAGGCCCTCTCCCGGGGGAAATAATAATGTGGCCCATGTATGAGATATGTTACCTGGTACCAGAGGTTCCTTTATGAAACTTGATATGCTTGACCGAAGAGACATGTGTTAAGCTAATGAATGTACCACACATGATTGAACAAGGATAAGACTATGATTCTATTTCACTATTTGATTATGATCCTGAAATGTTGTGAGACAAGTTATGGACATCATTCATTAAAGTCTTTACTTTGTTATTATTCACTGGGCTGTCGCTCACTGTTTATATTATGTATGTGAGCAAGAATGTGACCAAGCCCAGAATTGACGGCCTAAGTTTCAGTTTTGTCAGCCAACCACTGTGCCTCCCAAGGAGGTTCCAAGTGAAGTCAAGTTTCATGGCTGTTTTTGTAAACATGATAGGCTATGTTTATACTATGTTCTGTTTGGTCAAAATGTCTGATCTTGTAAGTTGGGAAATGATGTGTAAAGTTTGTAACACTGTTATGAAGTTTTAAGTTATTTGTTTCATGTATGTCTGCACAACTCTATGGACTATGTATGTCTTGATTATTTGCTTCCGCAGCCCCTGCTATATGTTTTTATGCCAAGAGGCCTTTGGTAATCCAAGGATTACTGGTTGGTTACGATGCTAAACCCATAAAGGCAGGTTTGGGTCGTGACAGAGTGGTATCCGAGCACGAGTAATACCGCACGCACAGGTCCATATGAGCTTAGGGAGTCCTAGTGAGAAGTAGGGGCATTCCATCTGCATGTCTAAGTGTGTTGTTTGAAAGTGAAAGCATAATCCAAGTATAATCATGTGAATTTGAATAAAGTAACGGGGACTATTTGCCTGTGTTTATAAAGTTTTGTTTACTTATAGCAAATGGACAATGCAAGAAGTGATGATACAACAGGGTCCTCGGATGCCCGAATGAACAGAATGGAACAAATGCTTACCACTTTAACTAAAGTAGTAATGCAAGAACAGAGGCAACAACCTTTACCACCTCCACCCCCGCCGGCTCAAGTTGAAATGGGCAATAGTGACATAATTAACATGACTAAGAAATTCATGAAGATGAAGCCGCCAACTTTCTTGGGTGGCATTGAACCACTAAAGGAAAAAACTTGGCTACTGGAGATGGAAAAATTATTTGAAGTGTTTCCCTGTTCTGAGGTTCAGAAAGTTTTATTAGCCACCTACACTCTGAAAGATGAAGCTCGAAGATGGTGGTTACTAGTTCAGAATGGTAATGAGAATATGACATGGGCTCAATTCAACACAATTTTCTATGACAAGTACTTTCCCCAGTGCTTCCGAGACCGAAAGGTTTTGGAATTCCAAGAACTCAAACAAGGAAGAATGTCTGTAGCCGAGTATGAGGCTAAGCTTACCGAGCTAGCCAGGTTTGCTCCTCACATGGTGGACACAAACTACAAGAAGGCCCGCAAGTTTGAAGGCAGGCTGGATTTAGATATATTGGAACGGGTGGGAGTTCTGAACCTACCCACGAATGTGAATGCTTTGGATAGAGCACTGATGGCAGAAGCCATTCTGGCAGCGAAGAAACAAACTACAATACCACCAACTGCATGGAAAGGCAAAAGGGCCGAGTTTAATTTCAGAAAAGGCCGATCATTTTTGAAGAAACAAAACACAGGATCTTCCAGTAGTCCTAGTCAGAGTAATGGGTCCATACCAAACTGTCTAGAATGTGGCAGGAGACATAGGGGAGTGTGCCAACGTACATCTGGTGCTTGTTACCGATGTGGCGAGGTTGGCTATATGATGAAAGACTGTCCAATAGGATCCAGGAATACCAGTCACCTGTAGACACCCCATTTTTGACCGACCTCAAGACTCAAACGTCATCGATTGAGCACTCGGTGATAGTGCATGTTTGTGCTCGTTTCGAGTTTCCGGAGTTTTTGGCCGAGTGCCTTGCCTCCGGGCCTCTGAACTCTTTGTGTTTTTGGCTCAGTTTGTGGACCAAGCTTTGTTTTCCTTGCCTAGAGGAGGAGGGAGGTCTTGTAGACCACTTTTCTCTCTTGTCAGCTAGTTTTCGGTTTTCGGTTTTCGGTTTCCGGAGCCTTCAGCCGAGTGCCTTGTCTTGCTTCCCTTTTGGTTTGGTTTTGAACCAAACCTTATTTTCTCTTCCCTGGAGAGAGGGAGAGGTCTCTTAGACCACTTTTTGTGGTCGTAGACCACTTTTCCCTCGTAGACCATTTTTGGTGCTCGTAGACTAGTTTTCGAGGTTTCCAGCTGCGTGCCTTGTCCCCCAGACTCTTGTCTTGCATCCTTTTTGGTTTGTTTTTAGAACAAACCTTGTTTTTCTTGCTTGGAGGGTGGAATGGGGGTTGGAGACCAGTTCTTCCCCTTGGAGACCATTTTTCCTGACTGCTAGCCAGTTTTCTGGTCGGCCAACTGGTTTTCTTGGTCTTTGGACCACCAATAGTGGTCGGCCACCACGCCACCACCTTGCTTTCAGTGTGTAGACCACTCTTTCCCCCCTGCCGACCACTTTCTTTCCTAGCAGACCACTTGTGGTGGTCGGCCGGCCATTACAAGTAGCTGGCTGATCACTTCAAGTGGTCGGCAGCTTTCCAGCACCTTTTTGGAGATCTTTTCTTGCCAGCTGTGACAGCTGGAAGGCACAGAAGTCATCCTCCATACATGTATGGAGGGATGGCTTAGAGCCTTAAGTGTGTTCAACAAGCTTCTTGCTTGATTTTCTATAAGAGGGAGGCCCTCCCTCCCTTCTCTAGGTTCAAAATTTTGTGCTTGAGCTATAGATACACACCTATCTCTATATTTGCTCCTTCTTTCTTGTTTTGTGCTTGAAAGTGCTTATTCTTCATACTATTGTACACAAACACACACTCAAACACCACCCTTTTGTTGCTGAGGCCCTTTGAGGTTGGTTTTGGAGTTTTGGGGCTAGTTTTGATCCAAAAAAGCTGCTGGAGTTGTTGCTCTAAAGTGGTTCTACAAGGGTGAGCTTCTAACCTCTTAATCCCTTGTTTTTTATTAAGCTTTTGGACCTATTTTCATGCTTATTTTGGCTTGACTTTCTACTGCAAAAAGGTCTGATTTTGCATGCTTGTAATGTTTGTTTAAGGTCTCTTTTGTGTTGGGGGTGGTCTACCCCCTCTTGTGCCTTGTTTGGCTTAGTTTTACACCATCACTTTAGGCCCTTGAGATCACTTTCTCTTGGCCTTTTGACCACTGAAATCCAATGGATTTTCAGTGGTAAAACTTGTGTTTTGAGGTCTTAAATAGGAGAGGGTCATCCCCTCTCCTTGTATTTTGGTTGCTTGCTTCATTTGCCTCATGTTTGAGCATGTTTGTTAAGCTTATGTTGGCTCCATATTAGCATGTATTTGGGGTTATTTTGACATGGAATACCACTATTTTGATTTGATTTTGTCTCCTCATGCATGCTTAATACACTTGTAGTGTAATCCTTACAAACTAGCTTTGTGTGCATCATGAAGTAGCATGTCTTTCTAGTATGTTTTGAGTCCATCTCAGTAGGTTTTTGGTAGTGTTTTAACATGCCTTAGATCTGTTTTGGCTTGGTTTGATAGCCCCATGCATGCTCCTTTCACTTGTAGTGCATTTCCATTCACTATCCTATTGTGTATCATGCTTTTGACTATCATTCTAGCATGATTTTGGCTCAACTCTAAGAAGCTTTTGTTCATATTTTAGCATGCTCTAGATTTTTTTCATGTTGTTTTGGCCATGCATGCATTGTTTTGTATAGCCATGGTTTAATCTAGTTCACTAGCTTTGCGTATTGAGTCCACTAGCATGCATTACGTGGACTATTTTCATGATTTGGCATCATTTGAAATATGATTTCAGTGCATGTAGTGTGGTCATGCATTCACATCTTTCACTCTTTCCATTTGTCACTCTTTCAATGCTTTGGAGAGGTTGTGCTTTATGCCCTTAACATGAGTCATTGTGTATGCCTTCATGCCTAAGCTTGCGAGCTATCATTTCAGTGTGTTTTTGGGGTTATTTTGCCATGATATAACTCTGATTTTTGTTGGTGAAGCCATCTCATGCTTGGTCTTAGTAGGTGTAGTGTAATCCTCCCTTTTGGCCTTGCATATTTCATGCTTCATGCTCACCATTTTAGCTTAATTTGGCTTCCTTCCATACATGTTTTAGCATCATTTTGACATGCTCTAGGACTATTTTGGGTTGTATTTTCCATATGCTTCATGTATTGCATAGCTGTAATGCAATTGGCCTTGCTAGCTTTGAGCTTTGGGCACCATAATATGCTTCATTTGTATCATGTACATGATTTGGCATCATTTAACATGACATTTCAGAGCATATAGCATTGCCATATTCCCACTTCTTTCACCCTTTGAGTGCCTCTAAGGGTTGTGCATTGTTGCCTTGTTTATGGCCTAGTTTGTATGCATGCATGCTTAGATATTTGAGCCCCCCCATCTCAGCATGCTTTGGTCTTTGTTTTGACCCATTTGAGCTCTGTCTATGGTTGGTTCATGCATTTATGCCATGTATTGCATGCCCCTTGTATAGTCCTCTTCGCTAGCTCTAATGCTTTAAGGACCCTAGCATGCTATGCTTGTACTATTTGAGTGATTTGGTATCATTTCATACCTAATTTGAGAGCATGTAGTGTTGTCACACTTCCATGTTTATCACTTCTTCACTGTGTTTGAGGCTTGTGCTCTTAGGCCTAGTTGATGAGCCAATGCATGTACATACATGTCCTGCCTTTTTGTGCCTTCATTTTCTAGCATTATGGCCACTGTTTTGGCATGACTGAGGTCCGTCCACATTCGGTTTAAGTCCATTGAGCATGATTGTTTTCATGTTGTTTGCATGCTTATTGTTTTCTTTGTGTTGAAATGCTTATGTTGCCTTGTATTGTGTATTCATGCCATTAGCATTGATAGATTGTTCATGTTGCATTGCATTGTGTATGCATGCCATTAGCATTGTTAGGTTGATCATGTTGCATTGCATTGTGTATGCATCCCAGTAGCATTGGTAGGATAGCATGTTGTTTGCATGCTTGTTGTTTGCATTGTGTTTTGCATGCTTGAGTCGCATTGCATGTTTGCATGCTTGAGTTGCCTTGCATTTGTTTAGATTAGGTGTTAATCCGAACGCGAAAAATGAGGGACGTTTCATACTTGAAGTGATGAAACGTGCCTCATTTCTCGGTCGCCGACCCTCTTGATCATGCATGATAGAGGTAAAGGCTTTATGTGTTATGTGTGCATTCATTTCACATTGATTCGTGCAATCTTGGCTTCTCGACCATCATGCATCGAGATGCGTGATTGGTGGCCCGATGGTCGAGAACTACACTCCCTTGAGCTTATGAAATGATAGGGAGGGTGGTTGTGCACACATATGTTGCAAATACATTGCCATGCCCCTTCTTGTTCTCTGTTGCAGCAAATTGGAGAAATACAGCAAAAAGTGGTCGGTAGACCAGTAAAAGTGGCTGGCTGACCACTTTTTCTGATCTGCAACAAAGATAGGTGGTCGGCAGGTGGTTGGTAACACCAACAACTGGTCGGCAGCCCTCCTGAGGGTCCCCAAGGTGAGTTAGAAGCTACCTGGAGCTTGGTGCAGTGTTCTGAGAATAGTTGCAAACAGAGGCAAATCGGGGCATCGCGATGGATTTCCGAACGAGACGACCAAGCATGCATGCACTCTTCTCCCTCTAAGGACATCTCTTTACTGCTTTACTAGACTGATTTGATTAGCTAGTTATGCTTTGGTTCTGTACTTAAGTAGTTAATGCGTTTAGCTGCTTATTTGTGTTGTAATAACTAGTTAGTTAACTTGTTAGTTAATTAGTTTCGTTTTGTATTTAATTAGTTAGCTTGTTAGTTAATTAGTTTTGTGATGCAATAATTAGTTTAATTAGCTTAGATTAGCTAGTTAGCTTCTTATTCGGACCCTCCGTCGAGAGGGCCAACTGTTGTAATAAGCGTGTATGTGTGTGATGCATGTCTTTCAACCCTCATTTCTTTTTCCTTTTTACTTAACCGCTTACGATGTTTAGTTTTAGGGCATTTTTCAATTAGCAACCTTATGTTCACATGCGTGCATCATTCATCTGTTTTGCATGCACCGGGCTCGGCGCATCATACAAACTGCATTGTATTTCAATACATTTACTTGAATACGTGTTCAACAGCATGTTATCAAGTTGCATTCACATGACATCTTAAGAATAGCCGAGCCTATCTTAGTTGCATTTTTGTATGTGTTGCATTAGCCATTTTAACATGAACTAGGATCATGCATGATTTCTAACTAGTTCATTGTTTTGGCTCGGAGTACACTGTGAGTGTTTATGCTTTAGCATCCTTGCATGTATGTAAGTGACTGCCATGTTAGCATGCTTGCCATGAGGCTATTTGCTTAACTGATATAACTGCATGAATGCCTGTGGATGAAGGTTGGATTGCTTGAATTGGAACAATTCATCGAAATGCGAGTTTTAAGCCCACTTGAGGGTGGCAAAATCTACGACTTATTAGCCTACTTGCGAGTAGTAAACTTCAAATCATTTTCACAAACGAACATGCAATGTTTTGTTCCAACTTAGGCGATCTATTCTATACTTGTATGTTGTACGCATCACATAGTAATTTTAGGTTAACAACCGGAATAAGAACACATGTGTTTTCAAAAACAACATATCATGCTTAGTAAAGGCTGATCTTTTGATCGGGCGAGCAGGGGTGCTCATTGCATGACCTTCCCTTCTCGTACCCAAGTTCCCGAGCCGAGGCAACTTTGGTGATGATGGACATATGGCCTTA